TAAAGAAAAGCATCAAAATCTCTGATCATCTCTTTATTTGAGCAACTACAGTGCATTCATAAACTACGCTCCTAGTTTTGTTGAATCGTTTAGTACCAACATCATATTTATTCACCTAGTGCAGGAAGGTCTAGCGCGAAAACTGGAAATTTTTGCGTAAAATGGATGTATGTACGTGTTCCGCAGCGTTCAGACTTCGCGACGGCAGCGCTTCGGTCGCGCGTTCGACGCGATCGATGCAGTTGAAAGCATGCGCATCGATCGCGCCGAACGCGCGACCGAGGCGCTGCCGTCGCGAAGTCTGAACGCTGCCTTCATGCTTCCAGATAACCGGGAGGACCTATCTCGTAGGACAAGATGTATGAGAAACTGAAAAAAGACAATAGGCGAAAGCAACAGATGGGTAATGCTTTAGCTTCAAAGTTAGTGGCTGTGAAGCCGTAGACTGCTGGTGCTCAGCCTTTGTATGATTGACGATCATTGCTGTGCAGTAGGCTAAAAGATCAACTAACAGCTTCTTCTGCAAAAATCAACGAGTAAGAGATCAACTGAAGTTCTACAGTGGCGGACTACTGTAGGAAATGATTGCACCCCGTGCGAAGACACTCAGCACAGCTGCTGGAAGATGAAGCCGTGGAAGAGAGTAGGAAGTCGAGCCGAGGAAACAAGGAAGAGTGCTGCCATAATCTTACTGTCTACCTCGTATACATATAGCGGCCTGGCACCATGGCTATCTTGCCTGAAGGGCGCACTCGTATTTTGACGGGGAATGGCGCGATCTACGTGAAGGCGATCCACCTATTGTGATGGGTCTCCGTTGTAGCCTTCGCTTCAGCATGGCTGGATTTCAGAAAACAGTTTATTGTTATTACAATACTTATTACTCTCACCTTTTACTATTCGTGTAGTTGTTCTTGATCAAATATTCAGCTGCTGCAATGAAATCATCAAAAACGTTCTGCTTCTTCTCTCTCCTTCCTGCCCTATGCCAACTCTCGCCGTATTCGCTGAACAATCATGAAGCATCAAATATGGCACTCAACTACACTGGTGTGCAAAACTTAGGGACGAAAGCAACTTTCGATCACTGTGCCTCTGCCAGACAACATAGCTCGATGGTGCAAAATATTATGAGGCACCAGCGGCTAGGATATGAGCCACCGATGACTAACATCACACGGTTGGGACTGCTCGGGGCTGAGAATCGAACGGATCACGAATGTTGAACGAATGTCTCACGTGTACTGGCTTATAAGACACCGGTGGCTCACAATGTCGTCAACGTGTTGAAGCACCAATTGATAGTACAAGCAGAAGACTTATGAGAAACAGAAGAAATGAATTATTTACCCTCCGCCACGAAGATTAGCCCATGCGATGTAACCGCCGAAGTGCCTGACGAAAGAAAAGTTGATCAAGGGAAATCCCGGCATCATAGAGCACCGAATCCTGTAGAAGTTACTTCGATTCGCAGGCAAGATTTTGGTACTGGAGTTGCTGACCTCCATAGCCTTTCAGTATTGTTGGGCTGTCACCGTTCCTTGACGCTCCTTTCAATGAAATGATATACATGGGGATCTAAAAGGCTGAGAAATCGGAGGTTTGTATGTTTATTGGGTTAGCTCATGAGTGAGTAATGGCATTTTTCTCTTACACATATAAGAAGTGAGGGTCGTTTCTAATGTGCTCTATGCTCTTAGAAAATTTTTCGCTCTACAAGACAGTAAAATTGCTTTCCTACTGCTTCTTGCTTTTTGTTTCACTGAAATGGAATTTCACGGCGACATGAATGGGGTTTCTGACAACAAAGTTATGCAGATCTCAACTCTCAAATTACACAAGAAGCTCGAAACTTGTAATATGTATGACCAAAGGAAGGTGGTTCTTATGACAGCTTGAAGTCTGTTTAAGTGATTAGGTGTTGGGATCTTGTAAATGTGCATCACATGGAAGGGGCTACTGCCTGCAGAACCTGCCCACTTACGTAACATCAACTGAGGTGAAGCTTGATTGGGATCAGGAAGCATTTCATAACCTCTGAGGATTCCCCATCCTCGTTATGAATCGCCATGAATAATGTGATGATTCAGTCAGCGTTCAATCGGATTCAAAAGGGCATTAGGCTCGATGGTTGTCTGTGAGGTAGAAAGTGAAGCGTTTGAACCGCCCGAGCCCTTGTAAGCCTTCCTTAGAGAATAGCTTCCCGACTTATGGTCAACAAATAAGCCAGTGCGGTTTCAGCTTATTAATTAGAAACAAAAATGCTCGAATTCGCTGGCCCAATACCTTAAATTAGGCATTTAAGTATTAACTAAAGTAGAATCTTTGAAAAAAAAACTAAGAGGAATGCTGTATAGGGCAAGAAATTCTCTGCAAAACAGTAAGAAGCTCGATGGTGAAACTTTTTATTTACCGTGGAATTTTCTGGTGGAAAAAACGTCATCACTTATGTCAACCAATGCAAATTGCAATTGAAATTAACCTTAGTTTTGTCCTTACTCTTGTAAAATACTTGCTCGCACCGCGAAGTCTTTTTCATCCATTCCAGGCACACGAACTCGTCGTAACTCCTGTAAAAATGATATACATCATGAGTGACGAAACCAGCACAGCCTTTAGGAATCAGTCAGTAGCACAAGCTCGTTTTCAGACAGACGCTGCATTCCTCGTAATTGTTGAAGGTATGAGTCACAATGGCTAGGACAGAAGTAGCCCGACAGTCAAAGGCACACGCATCCTATGTGCTCAATCCACATGAAAGCGGAGAGTGACCGAACAGCGATCTTGGGAGGGATTGATAGCTATCAGACTCATTCGGTAGATAATAGCATTGGCATCAAGTCACATTCCGCGACGCATAGGGGGTGGAATTCTTCTCGTGCAGAAGGGGCACAACTTCGCAGTCGTATACGATGTGTCACTTTTGCAGCTTGAAAATCTGTGTTGAGAGCG